TCTCTCTCTCTCTCTCTCTCTCTCTCTCTCTCTCTCTCTCTCTCTCTCTCCCACTCACACATACACATTTCTCTCCAAGGTAGGAAAGATAATTAAGGAACTTCCCAACATCACGTTCCTTCTGCCCCATTACTTACGGTATCTTATAAATTGCCTTTGGGAATTCTGACCCCACATTTCTGCCATTACTGCATGCTTCCAAATTGCTTTAGTTTGGGAGTTTTGTTCTTCATTTGGTTTTGCTTGCAATTCGTTTACTTTTCCTAATTTGTGGAGGGCTTTGCCTTTCTCTTTTAGACTTCTCAGGTTGATTCTCCCCAACTCATCATTTTGATAAAGGAGCTGGATCCTGGCCCCCAAGCATGATGTGGCAAGAAGACAGTCAAACGCATGCAATTGGCTAGGATTGCCTCAATCTTCCTCCTCCCCATTAAGCATGCAAAACCCTATCAACATTTATGTATCTCCTCTTCATCACCAACCTTCTGGGCCTTCATCAAAGGGGCTAGTCCTATCCAAGAAGCATGAGAGAAGTCCCTCCTTCTCCACACCAAAATCCACCATAGATTATAAAACATTGACCTCCATGCTGTATGCAAAGTGCCCAGAGATATGTACTCATAACGCACTACAGCCACAATGTCTTGAGATGTAAGCTGGCAGTCAGGTTCACTGGGAGGGAGGTGGGGTGGAATTTCCCCAGTGCCTCCTTAAAAGAAGCAGCAGGTACATTTATTTATGTCGCTGAAACAAGCAAGAGAAAGTCAGGGTCGACTCTTAGTGAACCATTTGATTAGATTTTTCTCCATGTTTTGAAATGCTGGCATCCATTTTGGAGCAAGATTCAGGTCACAGGGAAGAAACCAGTATGGAGGAAGTAAGACTAGCTTACAATAAGCCACAAGCAAGTACAAAATGCCATTCCCAATCCTTCAATCAATAGCCATAGCAATAGCAGTTAGACTTATATACCGCTTCATAGGGCTTTCAGCCCTCTCTAAGCGGTTTACAGAGTCAACATATCGCCCCCCACAGTCTGGGTCCTCATTTCACCCACCTNCAGTCAGCTGAAGTAGCCTGCAGTGCTGCATTTAACCACTGCGCTACCTCGGCTCTATATAAGAACATACCAAACCCACTCCCAAATGGAGATGGGCCTAGCTGAGGTTGCATATATGCAGGTAGGCAAATCAAGATACCTCTGCAAAATAAATAGGGCGCACTTCTCCTTCACATTTTGCAAACGAAGAACTGAAGCATATCGTTAATAACCGACAGATGCTTCTCTCTCCTTCTGCCCTCTGAGTTGCAGATCCAAATGCACTTGATGTCAAGTCACATGCAGCTATTTTTCTCCTTTTGTACTTAAAAGTATCCCCTTCCTAAAAATGTTTTCCACCATCCTCAAAGTGGTTGTATGATCCAGCAGATCTGAAAACAAGAAATATTAAGGAAACAAAACAATAATGTTTTGCTTAAATAAAATTAACAGAAGCCATTTTGGATTTAAGCAGAAAATCAAAATGGTTCCCCGTTCAGAAGTTAACAGTGGATGCGACATACCAATCCTCTTGAAATGGAACAATTTAATAATCAATGCCCCAATTTATTTTGAAGATGTCTGTACAGAAACTAGGATTAGATCACAGCAGATTATTTCCAACTTCACAATAAGGAACATAAAATCTACTTGGCACTGAACTGTGTTAAAGCAAATAGGATTTACCAGACATTGTCAGAGGGAATAATCTCTATTAAGGAATTATGAAATTAGCAAGATACTTAGAATTCAATCCTGACATGAATTTGGTGTTAAAAATAATTCTCTGTGATTAATTTAAGACTTGGACTAAAAGCCAATTATTTATTCATTTGTGCCATTGAGTCACAGTTGACTCTTTGTGACTATTTGGATAAGTCCCTTGCAATTTTCCTGGCAAGATTTCATTAGTGGTTTGACCTTGCCTCCTCCCTAAGCTGAGCAAGTGTGGCTGGCCCAAGGTTCCCCAGCCATTTTTGTGTTTAAGGCAGGACTAGCATAAGGTGACCAGACGTCCCGCTTTTGGCGGGACAGTCACGATTTTTAATAATTTGTCCCGTGTCCCGCAGTGTGTTCAAAAAGTCCCGATTTTCCAAAAGAAAGAAAACAATTTTAAAAAAAAGTTTTTATTTCTCTGAAGTGTCGTTCCCGGTGCGGCAAAGGGGCAAAGCTCCCTCCCCTCCTGTGCATGCGCACGCCAACGTGCACCGTTTTTCTGCGGGGAGAGTGATGGCTTTCTGGTGGCGGCAGCATGGCAAGGAGGAGGCTCAGTCCTGGGCCAAGCAGCTCAGCCATCAGAAGGGGGGTTTTTTTGCCCGCTTCTCTCGGGCGCCGCTCTCCCTGCAGCCATTTCTCCCTCTTTCTCCTTTTTGTCCTTTCTCCTCCTTCCCCCCAAAAAGAGAATGAGAGGGAGAAAGAGTAGGTGTGGGGGAGATAGTGGGATCGTGCTTTCTGAGCTTGGTGAG